TAATTCAATCTCAAATAAGAACTCTTGATAAGTTCGTTGTGAAGAAATCACATACTTCTGCTGAAATTAATAATGTTGTTGATGTTGATGATAAAATTATTTTTGAATGGCGATTCTATTAATTTGAATGACAATGATAATAATTGTGTTGATTTGAATGAAAATATGCATGTTGACAAAGATAAACCTTTAAGTGATGGTGATGTGTTAATTCAAAATGACAAATCTAATCATATTAGTGATAATTGCACTAGTTAGGATATCGACAATGATGCTTTAAATGTTGAAAATAATATTGATACTAAAAATTTGTCTGATATATTTGATCCTAGAATTTGGGATGATCTTAAGGCTGATATGATTGATCTTTTAGTAACTAAGGGCCCTAAAAGAGATTTGGCTATAGAGAAAGGTCCTAAAAATAAAATTTCAATGTGATTTTCTTCAACATTATATACGAGAGTATTATCAAATGGGGAAATGTGAAATGAAAGTTTTAGAAAAAAAATTGAAAGTTTAGGTACTAAAACGATCCAAAACTGATAGTTTAGATACTAAATGTGTTAAATTTTTTACGACAGGATACTAACATGAATCAAAAACTAAATGTTAGATATGATTTTGAAAAAAAAAATGAATGTTCAGGTACTAGAATGAACTAAAACTGATAGTTTAAGTATTAAATACAAGTTTACCCTTTTTATATAAGAAGGAACAAGTATTATACCCTAATCCGATGAGCACATGTTTCCTATTTATAGTATGACGTGGAATGAATTTTGTAGGGTCTAAGAAGGAACAAATCACATCCAACAAATAAATACACTCATAATTGTTTTCTCTATTTTTCTTCGCTTTCAATTGTTTTAGTAGGCGATGGTGAAGATGACTTTTGACTCTTTATATTAAAAAAGAAACATAAAAAACTAAAATTATATTTTATATTTATATGTTTATTTTAATGTATATATATTCAATAATTTATAATTATTGTTTTAGTAAAATTACATCTGCAAGTGTCAATCGAATAATTTCAATTCCATGTATGAAACTTGTTTCTTTAATTTAAATAATGTTTAGTGAGATGAGATATTAGATCTTTTAAATAAGGTAGATGATTAAATTATGGTATTTGCGAATGGAATGTACTGAATTAGGAGGATCGCTCTAACATTAGACCTCCACAGTATCCGATCCATATTAGTATGTTGATAAATCAGATACTAACAGTTATATCAAAATAACATTTTAATAATATTATAGCAAGTGGTTAAAAATTGACATAAGGGTCACTTTTACTCTTGTAGTAGATCTAATTTATCATTTTCGCCCCTATGGTATTTTCGCATTAATTAAGCCCTCAAATTTGTTTAATTGCATCATCTTATACTATATACCCTAACTTAAGACCATAAACCCTAACTTAAAGCCCTAAACAATGGTGAATATTTTAATATTAATGCAATTGAACAACTTCGAGGGCTAAATTGATGAGAAAATATCATAGGGCAAAAATAATAAATTACGTCTACTGTAGGGATAAAAATGAACCTTAAACCTTAAAAGTTAAAATTTTAAAAAATTGAATGACCAAAACGGAATAAAACAAAAAGTTAATAGACTATCCTTGTCCTTGAAAAACACCTTCTTCATGATTAAAAACTCCTCTAGGGTAGCCAAATGCATCCATAGATGGAACAATTCAGTGGGGCCTCTACTTCCAAAATTTTGTCTAATAGCAATTGTAGTCACGGCTAAATAATTCATTGTTTATTCCTAAATTTTGAATTATACACTTTTTTTTTGTTGAGAAAGATACAATAATTCGCCTATCTATCCGTTTAGTCTACAATCAGCAGCTCCTCAGCTTCCTTAGGGTAATCTTTGAACAAATTGGTATTTTCATGGTGCTTCTCCATCTGTTTGGCGATGAAATCAGCGACACGATTGGCCTCCCTAGGTATGTAACCAGATCAACTACCTAATTTCTCCTCAATAATTTTTCGATATGTTGCAGAATCGTAAGTTTTCTGTGCTCGGTCGAGTTGTTCTTAATTAGGTTGATAGCTTCTCTATTATCCGACTCTAGAATCACGTTTCTTTCTCCCCTTAACCAAGCGATTCTTAAACCTTCATGGATACCCCATAGCTCTGCTTTCAAAATAGAACATATTCCTATTTTTTTTCTCGAAACCCCAGCGCCATTCACCATTACAATCTCTTGCAACAACGCCACACGTAGCTTCCCCAATGCTTTGTCTTTTGATTCCATCAGTGTTTATTTTCAACTATGAAAGATAAAAAGATGATTTGTCATTCAAATATACAGGAGATCCATCACTAAAGCTATAATCATGATTTCTTTCGATGAGAAATGTTGATGATGACCTTTCCCCCACTTCAAGCTCTCTCTGCAAGCATGGTTGTTGTTCGTTTATCTTCCTGAGCCAATTTTCTTCAACACTCTATCAATGACAGATTCATAAATATTATTTAGGTTAGGCACATGTGTATTACTAATAAAAAATCGTACAGAATGAGTACAAATAAAATTTCAGAGTGAGCATCTTCAGTAAAATAAACAACTAACATAAAGAAATTCGGATTTCAGGGTGGGCACGTGCCCACCCTGAGCTCCATATTCATCCGCCACTGCCCTTCACCTATGTTCAACGATTATAATGATGCATGAGTGTATATGACCTGTGATGGTGGTGACGGCTACTGACTGATTATGGTGATGTGTCAATAGCCGAGGACAGTAAGTGAATTTAGAGATTTTAGAAAACATATAATTTTTATTTTTTATTTTAAATAATTTTAAAATTACAAGAACATGACTCATGTCATTTAACAAAATATTTTAAATGTCGTTATAGTCGAAATACTTAAAGGGATAGCGTTTGTAACATTATACACTTGGATGAATCGAAAAAGTTTAAACACCTATTTAAAAGAATAGTATAATTTGACCACTTATTTTTTAATTAAATCTTATTTTTAATAAAAAACACTTTGATACTATTTAATGTTTAATTGACACAGAAATTGGATAATTGCTAGTAGATTATATATAATTTTGGTATAATTATTAATATTTATTTTATTAATTAATTCAAATTAAATATATAATGTTTTTGAAAAGATTCCTTTGGACCATCCTTGGATATACATCAACCTTTATTTTCAAGCCAAAATGGGTAATGCACCCATGCAAAAGAAACAAAGCAAGGCACGTAACAGTACACAATTTCGAGCCACAAGCATTTTTTTTATTAATCATTTGTATATAACTCATTCATAGGTTAATTCAGATCAGGTATTGTAGATGCGAGAGTAACTCTCTACACCCCATATTTACTTCATTCGTAAATGTCAGGTTCATAACTCCTAAACTTACTTAAGGGGTATAGTGTCTCATCTCACAAAACCAAATGATTGTCGATACAAGCGTTTGTTTATTGACTTAATATAAAAATAAAAATAATTGAATTATACTCAAAATTAATTTTTGGTATTTAGAGAATTCTTCTTTAAAAACATATGTATAATTTTTTTTGTTACATTTTTAGGTACTTACCGTTAAAAATTCCGTTAAATGACACGTGTCACGTTCAGTTTTTTAAAAATATTTTCAAATAATATTTTATTTTTTAAAAAAATCAAAATATATAAACGTGATACGTTTCACTTAATGATTATTTTAACAATAGACACCTAACAGTGTAAAAATAAAATATTAGATATATATTTTAACAAAAAAAATATTTAAACACTAAAAATTAATTTTAAATATAATTTAACTACTTAATTTTATATTAAACCTTGTTTATTTGAGAGAAGCGACGTCGCAAGTAATTAGAGTGCATGCATGCACATGTTGAGAACCAAGAAAGGTTACTTTCTAGTACTAATTACCACAATCATCGCATATCTATTAAATTATTTTAATAGTAAACAAAAATGTTATTTTTTAATAATTTTAAATTCGAATAATTATGTATGTAAAGTGTGTATATATAGTCGATTAAATCTAATCCTTAAATTATATAATCATAAATTTAAATCTCAAGTAGGATACGTGATGATATTATAACATCGCTTGTAAAATACTTGCTCTACACGGAATAATAATTCATTAAATAAAAGAAAAATGTATGATGATAAAGTTAATTATTTTGGTCCATTAATTCTAAAGTTGTGTTGTGAAAAAAAGGAAAATAAAGGAAAGAGATAGATGAATTATTATGTAGGCCAATGTAGTACAAATAATTTAATGGAGGTCATATCAAATAGAGAAAATTTCTCTCATCAAATGATGTTAAAAATGGTGTAAAACTAAAATTTTTATACCATATGTAAGTGAATCTTATATATATATATATATATATATGGGTCATGATTTAAATACTGTGTAAAACTCTTTTAATTTTATACATTTTTCATTGGACGAGGAAAATTAAAAGTTGAGATAAAATGAGAAGATATTAAAGAAAACAATGAGTTAATCTCAACCTTTGATTTTACTCAATCCAATGATCCTAAAAAATTAGAAATATATATATATATACCTGTTATACAAGGTAAAACTCACTCTTTTAGTTTTCTATAAATTTAGGATATATTAAAAAGTATGACTCAGATTGACAATAAGATATGAGAATATATTCACGTAAAGAGTCTATTTCAGTAATTTATTTTAAGTTAATTTAAGTATTTTAAATTTGTATAAAATAATTTATATTGTGTAAGAGTAACGTATCCTACAAGTAACATGGTTCAATTAGCAAATTGCAATGGTGAAAATAACAGGCATGGTTCTTCACATTCATGACTCAAACTCCATAACCTATTTTCTTGGCCTGTAACGTGAGAGAGACAGGTCTAAGTGGTTGTTTGTCCACCATTGCCTCTCAACTAAACATCTATCGTCGTCCTTTTCCTTTTGTTTGTTTCTCCTGCTTTTCTATATACCTTTGTACTAAACTAAAGAGCTTAGGGTTACTAATAGCTGCACAATTTTAATGGCGAAACTGGATGATTGTTCGTTTTCTATAAAGTGTATCATTTAATGGGAGTTTCAAAGCTTCTTTAATATCATCTTAAAAGGAAGGTTGCATTTTTCCACGTAAAGTTTCATTTTTTTTATTGCTAAATGTCAAGTCTGATCGTATGTTCTCCATGGAGATTGATCATCAATGTTTTGGTTTGCTTCTTGTTTAGGGTTTCGATTGAAAGCTCATGGCGGAGAAGACGAGCAGTGAAGAAGGAGAAGTGGTGATTAATATTCCCGATGAAGGGCCAAAGGAACCAGAGACATTGGAGCCCAAGCAAAAAGCAGGAGCATTTGGTCCAGCTGCAAACAAGCCACCAAAGGTCCTAGTTGCAGGTAATGAGACCCCTTTTACTCGAAGAAGATCATTTCCGAAACCGAAATCGAGATGCGGGGAACAATCTTATCTTGTTGAAACTGATAAAATGGAGGAGAATGGTTTCGCTAATCAAGAACATAAGGCCTCCCCTAATAACAAGTTGGGGAGGACTACACCTACTGATTCCGGCGTGTCGAAAACGTTATCGATGGCCTCTACAGGCGCGAACGGAGAAAGTACCGAATACGAAGAGATAATTAAGAAAGTTAAGCTGCATAATGAGAAGCTTAAGGGAGTGAAACCTAAGGTTGTGATTGAGTGGTTCATATTTTTGTTACTCTTGGCATGCTTAATTGCTAGCTTAACGGTAGATAAACAGAAGAGTCACCATTTTTGGGGCTTGGAAACTTGGAAATGGTGTGTGCTTGTGATGGTTATATTTTGTGGTATGTTGGTTAGCCGTTGGTTTATGCGTCTCGTCGTCTTCTTGATCGAGACCAACTTTCTTCTAAGGAAGAAAGTGCTGTATTTCGTTCACGGTTTGAAGACCAGTGTGCAAGTGTTTATATGGTTGAGCTTAGTTCTTGTTACTTGGGTTCTTCTGTTTCTTGATGTCGAGAGGTCGAAGACCGCCAAGAAGATTCTCGATTACGTAACGTATACTCTTGTAAGTGTTCTCATCGGAGCTTTCTTGTGGTTGTTGAAGACATTGTTGCTAAAGATATTGGCCTCCACCTTCCATATGAACATATTCTTTGACAGGATACAAGACTCTGTCTTCCATCACTACATACTTAAGACCCTTTCGGGACGACCGCTACTGGAGACCAATGAAAAAATGATGACCCATTTGACTGTTAGCAATGCCAAAAAGGGTAAAGGAGCTAAAACCAAGAAGTTGATTGACATGGGAAAGGTACATAAATTGAAGAAAGAAAAAGGTTCATCTTGGCACATGAAGGTGTTGGTTGATGCTATCACCAATTCAGGTCTTTCCACAATCTCCTACTCCTTGGACGAAAATACTTACGAGGAAGGCGGTGAACAAACGGATAAAGAAATCACTAATGAGGAGGAGGCACAGTTTTCTGCTCATCAGATCTTCTACAACGTTGCTCGACACGATAGCAATAACAATTGCAGGTTCGAAAATTAGCTGTTCATGATGCTTCTTTTGATTCCGTTTTCCCTTTGTTTTGCCTTACACTAACTATATGTTCTTTATGATCAGTTACATTGATGAAGATGACCTTTTAAAATTCATGATTAAAGAAGAGGTGGAGCTTGTGTTTCCGTTGTTCAATGGATCGAACACCGGAAAAATTGACAGAAAAAGTTTCACAAACTGGGTGGTAAGAGCTCTATATGAAACTCCAAAGCATATGATCACTTGTTTAACATGCTTGCTTTGTGTTATTCCATACAGTTAAAGGTTTACAAGGATCGGAAAACACTAGCACGTGCTTTGAGTGACACCAAAACGGCTGTAAAGCAATTGAATAAACTGGTAACAGCGATCCTGATCGTCGTTACCGTTGTCATATGGCTTCTGCTGACAGAAATCGCAACCAAAAAAGTGCTTTTGCTACTTTCATCACAGCTTGTGGTTGCAGCTTTTATGTTTGGAAACACCTGCAAGACTATATTTGAAGCCATCATTTTCGTATTCGTGATGCATCCGTTTGATGTCGGAGATCTATGTGTGGTTGATGGTGTTCAGGTAAACTATTGAAAGAGCGTATGCTCCTATTGCATTTCTGCAAAAAGGAATATTACTAACCATGCTCTTGATCACTTGGTAACTCACAGTTGTTGGTAGAGGAGATGAACATCTTAACGACCGTCTTCTTGAAGCTCGATAACGAAAAGGTGTACTACCCGAACTCGGTTTTGGCCACAAAGCCCATCAGCAACTATTACAGAAGCCCTGATATGGGTGATACCATAGAGTTCGCTATTGATTTTATGACACCGGCAAAGACGATCGGCAGGCTGAAAGAAGAAATAAGGAAGTAAGTTGACTATAGCTTCATCCCTTCTTTAGTTCACACAAGATTATGTTCATGGAACCTAGTGGTTCACGCATTCATTCTGACATGGCGAACCTGCAGGCATTTGGAGGCCAATGGTACCGTATGGCATCCGAACCACCTTGTGGTGGTGAAGGAGATCAAGAACGTTAATAAGTTAAATATGGCTTTATACTGCAATCATACGATGAACTTTCAGGACTTTAGGGAGAAGAACCAGCGTAAAACCGATTTGATCATCGAACTGAAGAGAATTTTCGAGGAGCTGGGCATAAGATACAATCTCCTCCCCCAACATGTGAATCTCAACCAAGTCAACCAAGACAGGCCGAACGCGACATACGCGACCGCCTGATCCTTATCTTGTGTTGTTCACAGTTTTATGAGCTTGACCAGGAGTGGCAATGAAAACCTATATGCATAGTTGATTCATGTTTGATATGTAAGCTTGTATTATACATGTATGGACTTGTGGAATCTGTTAGATTTTGCAGATAAAAAGAAGCTTTCATGCATTTAGTTTTATTGCAACTAAATCTGTGAAAACAACACAAATCCAAACACATAAATTGTCTTGAAATTAAAAACCAACATTTTCTTAACAATTGATGACTGATTTCTTTGAAGCAAAGTTCTTTTTGATGCTGTCTTTTATTTACAACTTCTCTTCATATTAAGGCTCTGTCAATCTCAAAAGTGGTTTCCCAATCCATGTCCAGGTATAAATCTTGCATTTTCCTCGGTGTAAACATGAGTTTCATTCAACAGCCTGCGAAACAACCAACGCAGCAATCTCGGTTAGCTAAACAAAGATCTTGAGTTCGAGTTTTGAAGATGGGAGAAAATGGTGCCATAGGGGGGCTTACGATAGATAAACCGTCTTGTTCATGGTTGCAGACGAAAGGAATGAAGAGCCATTCAAGTAGAGTAATTCACCATCGACTCTTTCGGCAATCCGCTTTTCGATTTCTTCGGCACCAATGGAGAATGGTTGATCAGAGGCCTATATTAAAGCAAATATATGTCGAAAGCTATATAAAAATGTGTACTTTTAGTCCACTTGTCTATACAAATTTGAACATTAAGTCCCATACCATAACCCATCCCCATGTATCAGCAAAAGATGGCACATGAGCTGTGTATGCCAACACATCTGCAATAAACACACATATCTTAGAATTCAATCTATTGTATAGAAATCTGAGGTTTGGTTTTAGGATCTTACACTTGAAAACCTGCCTGATTGTGTTATATATAGAGGAAAATACCTCCTTGTGAGTGAAAATTCCAGCTGGACCAGCCTATATAGAATACACATCCATCTTTATATTTCATTATAATAGCATTAACATGACCCTACATGAGAGTCAAAGACCAACCTGAGTGACAAAAATGCCATCTTCATTGAGCTTAGGCTTAAGAATTTTCTCATAGAATGATTTAGTGTAAAGTTGATAGCAAGGCCCTCCCTCAACAGGATCTGCCAAATCTCCAACTATGATATCAAATTTCTCGGTCCTTTTCTCCAGCTCAGCCCTTCATGTTTCATACACAAGCACCAAGTAAATTAGCTTCAAATTCGTAACGAATCGGTTGTCGAATAAGCTCGATCGATGTACTTACTTGGCATCATTGATGACAAGGTTAAGCTTCTTGTTGCAGAAGGCATCACGATTCACGGTGAGATATCGACGGCAAAAATTGACCACTTCCTGAAAATTGACCATTTTCATTGACAACAAAGAATGCATCATCAGATGGTGCTCAAATCAAAGTTGCTGGCAATATGTAGAAAAATGAAACCAAGCAAGTCACCTCATCAATATCACACATTACAACTTCATCAATAGACTTATGCCTGAGTGCTTCCCTAGCAGCAGAACCTTCTCCTCCTCCCATTATAAACATAGTTTTAGGCCTGCAACAACATCATCGTAAAAAGGTTTTGATTCGAACCCTGAACTCGATCTCGACAGACTCTAATCTCTCTTTAAAAAGGGCATTCATGGTAGATAAAATGGACTTACTTGGAGTGGAAAAAAAGAGCTGGATGAATCAAGCATTCATGGTAGATAAACTCATCAACTTCAGCACTTTGCATTTTCCCATCAATCACCAACACCTACATGCAAACATACATACATACATACATACATACATATATTAACACAAGCAATTATTCAAACAAATTGAAGACAGGAAAACAAGCTTCTTATACGTACCTTGCCAAAACGTTTAGTGTCCAAAAGTGCTATATCTTGATATTCACTAGCACCTTTATACAGCACGCTGTTGAGACAGATACATAAAGAATTAAAGACATGTACATGTACATATATACCTATACATACATACGTACATAAATATAAGAAAGTAATAGGCTCAAACCTTTTCAAAGCAAAGGACCATTTGAGATCTTCATCAATGGTCTCCTCATACCAAGAATCAAACTGCTGATGAGTCTCATCAACCGTCGGATTCTTTGTTGTCCCATTGCAGAAACCATTTGGATAAAAAATCTCAACAGCCTCACCCATTATAAAAGCAAAAAACAAAAAAGACAATTTCTTGAAACAAAGCAAAGATGGAACAGAACAAGAGAGCAAAAGGTGGCAAAGTGTGTGCGGATGGTGGTATCACCACGGTTGTAGTGCTTTTTATAGCACATTTTTAAGGGGAAAAAATAAATAATATTTTTAGATAATCATCATGGGTTTTGTCTAACACGGGCAATGATGCTCTCACAGACAGTCCGGATTTTCTGTGCACACAAAAAAGGGTTCTTCACGCCAATTATCATTTTCATATGGTACTACATGGTGTTCATGGAAATGGTGACCACCCACCATCAGTTGTTTCCCAGTGATGTTCTAAGCTGGCATGACAGTAATCAGGGATGTACCTACAAAGGCTGATGGGATATTTTCATATGGTATTACATGGTATCCATTGATAATCTATTTGTTTATCTCAAAATTTTATAAAACACACTACTAAAAAACCTGACATAAAATCTTGCGATCGTCTTTGACGGTAATTAAATACTTTTTTACCCATTTTTTCGTCAATTTTTGGGGCTTCCAAACCCATGTGTTGACATCTTAAAGTTGGATATGGGTGAAATTTCCCAGAGATCGACTGTCATTCTAGAATTATGGAAGAAGCATGCGCATATGATGTTTATCTATAAGTTGGTGGCTAAAAGGAAGAAAAACAGGGGAATATATGTCCGCGTGGGTTAATGTGGATCCCACAATATACACGTGGTGGGCCTTGTGATCGACACGTCGTGAAGTACATGTGGCAATGGGGTAGGGGAGAAGGATGGGCGATAGGGTCCACTAGGAGAGTGTAAAGTGAGATATTTAATTATGGATTAAAGTTTATGCACTCTTTAGCCAACCTTTGTCCTTTTCCATATCACTAGCACTTAGGGTTGAGATGTAACCCAAATCCGACGAATCCTGACTTAATTCGATTTGATAAGGTCTGGTTTTTTTTCAAATATTAAGTTTGAGTCGGATTGGATCGGTTTTTTTAAGGAGTAAGGTTCGATCGGATTGATTCCGGTTAGAGTGTAAAAAAATTCTAACCCGACCCGACTTAGAGATAATAATATAATTTCTTTTAAAAAAATTTAATTAAGTCCTTATTTTATACCGAGTTGGGTTGAACTTGTACTCTAAAATTTCGATTGGATTATAATCGAGTGACGGATGTATATTTTTCGGGTTAGATCGGATTAGATAGAAGATATATAATTTTCGGATCGAGTTAGGTATGGATGGATAATACATATTTTCGAGTAGAGACGGATTGGCTAGAAACCCAACCCTAACCCGATCCGTTATCATCCCTACCGGCACCACCCACAAAAACCAAATGGTATTCTTTTTTGGAGTGAATTGCAACATAAAGTCCCTAAATTTTGTGGTAAATTCTAAAGAGCTTCTATTATGCTTAAAAATCAAGTGAGTCTCTTATTTGATAAAATGAATCGTCATATGAAAAATCATGATCAAATGAGTTATTGTTTGAAAAATTATAATAATTTTTATTAGTTTTTCCCCCCAATATAAGGACTTATTTGATCATAGTTTTTTAAACAAGGGTTCATTTAATTCATAATTAAAAGTAGGAGCCAACTCGATTTTTTTAGTACAACCAGAGGGACTTGTGTGATATATAAGCCAATTTTAATTGATCTTAAATTTTGAAATGTTCTAATTAGACCTTTTCATTAATTAAACTATCAATTTTGGCTTTGAACTTTAACTTAAGTCTTACATGTTTGAAAATATTTATTAATCTATATGTATTAAAAATGTGATCCTATTTTCTAAAAATTTAAATTTCTCGTATAATTTAAGTTATTTTTAATTTTTTTTATATAGTCATCGATATTCAATATATTAATTGATTAATTCGAATCAGATATAACAGAACTGACGACGACCCTCTCGACTCAATTTTTATCTCTTTTATATGTGTCAGAATGCCACCTAAAAAAAGCTTCATCCAAAGCTTTAGTGATTCCCTCTTTTACTTGGTGGCTAGCTTTTATTATCAATTATGACTACCAAAATATACCCATTGATTTCATCCACATGCATCTCAATTTTTTTCCCCTTATGTGATATGATATGTTCATGGATATTATTTTCTTGTAACGTAAGGAAACGTTGGCATGATAGTTCGTAAATGAGACGAAACAGATCGTGAAGTATTCGAGATTAATTTGATCAATGTTTGATAAATATTCGATTCGAATAGACTCGATTTGAGCTTGAGTTCTTGACGAGTCGAGACCAGCTACTTGATACTCAACTCAAAACGTTCGCGAGTAATTTAAAAATTATATGTTAAAATTTTATTTTAAAAAATTAAATTATTAATAATATTAATATTTATGTGTTTTTTTTTTCTTTTAATGTAGTAGGAGGTTTTCATGTACTTAAGGTTCAAGTTCGAGTTTGAGCTTTAATCGAGTTAAGTTTAAGATTTTTTTTGAGCTTTTGCGGGCTTTTTTGAGTTCGATTCGAACTCAAAAATTTTAGGCTCACTGGTTTTCGAGTTGAATCGAATTTTGTTTTAAATGTTTTTGAGTTGATTCGAGCTCAGTAATACCCGAACTCAACTCGGCTTGTTTACAGCCCTAGGTGGCAACTTATACAAGTATGAAAATTCCAATAAATAAATGAAAAAAATAGTATTTTGATCTCTTCATATTTTATGTTAAGGTTGATTACAAGATTCTTGGTAAATCTCTAGATCTGTTCCCACATAATTATTTCAAGCACTTGTGCGTAATTTTGCTTCCATGCATGCCTTGTTGGAGTTGATGAATATGATTTTGCGATTGGTCTTCATAATAATACGGGGATATAATTGCACAAGATTTCTTCAAAATATGACTCACATTTTAATTTGGTCCCTAAAATTTAAAATATTTTATATTAGTCCCCAACTAATGACCCCATTTTGAATTGGTCCTTAAATTCTAAAACATTCTATAATATTCCTCAAACTAACATTATCATTCAATATTGATCATTTCCTCAAACTCTACTGATTTTTAATGCCTTAGAAATTTGACAGGGTGACCTCAAAAAATATTGATTTGTTTTTACGGTCATGAGAATTGAACCCATCACCTTCTAAAAATACTAATCCATCTTTAAAGGTCCTTGAAATTATTTAGAAGGCCACGTTTCCAATTCTCAAGATCTTCACAAATAAATTAATTTGTTAACCAGTAGCGTAAATGGCACGTTAATAGAAGGATCAAAACAGTACGATATGGATAGTTTATCGGTTTATATAAAATATTTTGTAGTTTAGGGATTAATTTAAGTAAAATGTGCTAATAGTTTAAGGATTAATATATAATATTTTAGAATTTAGAGGTCGATTTAAAATGAGATCATACTTGGAACACATTATGTGCAATTAACATTTGCTACTCATCATAGCTAGCTTCCATGCATGCTTGATGGAGATGATGGATTTGATTTTTTACATGATCTTTATAGTAGCATGTGGGTACTAATTAGTAAACTTTTATTAGTTTTAATTAAATCTTTCTCGATTTTTATTAATGGATAGTGAAATTTGTTCAAAAAAATTTCATCCCTTTATCTTTCTCTATATATTTTTAAAAAATCTATAGACATAGAAGAGAAATACTTATATGATTTTTGAATTATTTAAATAACAAATAAGATAAATATAATAATGATAGTTCCTACAAAGGATTAGACCAATAAAATATACAACACTTAATTTTTTTATTAAGCTAAGGTGATTACAAAATAGTATCTGTTCTAAATACTCTCAATCATTGGACAATGGACGCTCAATCACCCTGTTGCAGTCGCTGATGCTTGAAGTCACTCTAAGAATAACAACAATTCCTATAACTATTGAGGTAAGTTAGTTCGTTGGATATAAATACTCTATAGTTGGTTTTCATCCTTTCATATGGGCAACTAATAAAAGGGAGTTGAAGAGGACATTTGGTGAAATGGGAGGGATATTGGAGCACCAAAGGAAATTGCCTAAATGCTAATTTCTTGTAATTGGGAATGAATTGGGAAGGGAGAGAAGGGTTTAACCAAAATCTTATATTTTTAGAAATGACTTCAATCCCATGTAAAGGAGTTGTTATTCTCTAAAGTCTCAGGTTCGAGAATTATAAATATCATAGATATCAGCGTTCAATATTAAATTGTTGAAAGTTATCTTTAAACATATATTATCTTGTATTTATAAAATATTAATAAAAAGAAAAAAAATGACTTGTGGCATTGTTCATTGTTTACTGCAAGGGCGGCTTACAAGTCACAATCGCTACTACTATTTCAAAAGGTTAAACCTACCCTTCCTCTCTCCATATGTGTACATACATACGTGTAATCCCAACATCAAGTCAATGGTTTAATAATCCAACATCACCATTCCTTGATATTCCTACAACGATTTTTGTTTCATACCCAAAAAAAAACACTTTTGATATGGATTAGGAAGAGAAGTTTGATATGGATTAGGATGTTTCTCGAGTTAGATCAATCTAAAATTTAATTTAATCTAATCCGTTATCATCTCTACTCACAACTATACTTATTTGAATGTTATTTGGCCTATTTAAAATTTAGGGATAGTGTTAGAGTAAGCTTATGTTTAATATATATATATATATATATATATATATATGTATGTATATAGTGTTCTCTTAGTGATAGCATTTTCTTGGTGATGCATGAGTGGAGATGTTCTCTTAGTGATAGCATTTTCTTGGTGATGCATGAGTGGAGACTACGCAAGGAGGCGAGCGTGCTTGGGGCTGCTTCTGCCTACTATCATTTTTTCCCATTAATAATTTCACTTATAAAATAATTTCTTAATAAAAAAATAAGTACTTAAACTTTATCTCGAAAAATGTTTTAGTGCTTAAAGATTTTTTCGTTAATATAGGTGCATAAAAGTTTTCTCGTTACACTTTTAGGTGTTTACCGTTAAAAAAATTGTCAAGTGACACATGTCACGTCCAGATTTTTTTCAAAAAAATATTTTTAAATAATATTTTATTTTAAAAAAAATCAAGACCTGATATGTGT